CACCTGGATGGTTTGAAGACAACAAGGTGAAGTTCTGGAGGCCCAGTCAGAGTCCAGACCTCAGTCCAACCTGACAGAGTCTGAACAGTTTCATCAGAGGAATGAGGTGAAATCAGAGTCCAACTCCTTCATTTCTGACAATATAACAATTTAATACAAAAACCAAACATCTTTCTCTCGATTAAAATTTCATATACAGTATATTTATATATTTGTGTTTCTATGAGTGAAAAAAACCTGGATACAGAGCAACCAGAGAGGTTTTCAGCAACAACAAAGACAACACCGAGACAAGCATCCTGTGGAAAACTGGACAATTATCTACATGGGTTTACAAACAATTACATCATCTGCCATCACAAACATGTGACTGTTACACAGACAGTGAAAGCTGGAACAACAGGGCTCAACTTTAAATTTCACACATTAAAAATAAAACTGTAGAAGCACTACCCTTAATCCCATGACGCTGTTCTATCATGAAAACTCACCCACGACAGACTTTCTTGGCAAAGACTCGGTCCTAGTCCAAACCGTCACAAACAAGAGGACGAACACTGAAAACAAAACGACTTTTGGACATTCTCACTGCAGATCGCATCGCTTCTCGCTCTGCTGATTCCATTTTAATCCTGAATACCCTGATCAAACCGTTAAGAAAACACCAATCAGGAGAGGGCGACGAAGAGGTCGAGAGATTATCAAACAATAAAATACTTTCAATCAAACGTTACTACCATGGTTCACCAGTTTAAAATAACATTAATCAAGGAGTACATTTATAAAGAATGGCTTCAGAAGTACATGATTCCTGCCTGGTAGGTATTGCTGTGAGTGACTCCTGGTACAAAACGAGTACAAAAAGTCTGCAGTTACAGGGTTACGAGGAAGAACAACCCAAGAGTTGTAGTTACTGATGACACCGTATGCATTAAGCACACACGCATGCATACCGCATATAAGTAGGCAAAGAAAAGAGACTGTTTGTATCTGCACCTTGACAACGTCGTGTGGAGATGAATGCATCGTTCACAGAAGAAGACGACTTCAAATAAAAGTTTACAGGTGAGGCCGCTGATCTACGTCGTAGACAGAAACCGGCACGACGTGGAAGCGCTCCAGGAAGCAGCGCGCTCATGCAGAGGCATGCTGTGGGCTCAGAGTGACGCTCGACAGCTGAGACTTAAAATCACCAAAGCTGTAAATCCCTGCAAATTTCCCAAGAGTTTAAATCAACATCTGGAGTGATTTGTCTGCATGCTAAAGGGTACAACTGCAACACACACTCTGCACCAATGCCTGAGAAGAACTGAATAAAGGCCTTCGTGTGTGTGTGTGTGTGTGTGTTCACGTGTGTGTACAGAGTGTCACTGTGCAGTCTATTCAAGTGTGGCTGTGTGATTGTGCGTCTTTTATATATTTCTATATATATGTATATACTGTATAGGACATATCTACAACGTGGGTTGTGGAGCTTTGGGCAGTGCTAGCTAGAGATTTGTCTTACAATGGCTGGAATATTGTTAAAATAATAAATCTTTTAGTCAGTAGCAAATACTTGATTTTCCTCTGCGATCGGTGTACCTGCAGCCAGGTACGTCCCTCCGTCTGGGACTGGCTTGCAGCTGTGCAATCTGAGCCATGCAAAGCAAAGGAGAGTGCTACTGTCAGGAGCAGGAAGAACAGAGGAGCAGGAGAAGAGCTAAACATCAGGAAACGGCGAGGAGCGACGTCAGCGGACAGATCCGGCGAGCGGGTCACTCGTTGAATGGCGGGTACAGGGGGATCTCGAAGTCATCGCTGTTGAAGTTGGCGGGCTGGTCCAGCATCGACAGCACGTCCTGGATCAGATCAGAGAGACAAACGTTTCATTTAGGAGGCAAACTATGAGTACAACAGGAGCGAGGCCCAATCACAACGTCCCAGCGTGTTGCTGCTCCGTTTAGGGCTTTTCCACAGAAAACCAAAGAAGAACGAGCATTTTGAGCCGTTTCAGCAACTTTCTGGGAGCTTGCATTTCTGCAGACTTCACCCTGAGGGAATCAGCCGCAGGAAGAAAAGGCAGAAGCAGGAAAATAAGCCAACATATAAACACACAACTCTCTGGTGGTTCAAATCCAGAACTGAGACACTGTTTTCTGTCCTATGAAGGCATGATGATGAACTTAAAGCAAACACTCGGCAGAACAAAGGACACTAAAAACTTGTTGGCATCAATACTTTAAACCAATGCACGCTTTTAAAAAATGCTGTAATTCCTTGGAACAAGTGTGTTTGGTCCATGTAGCATCTGCGTCTGGATGGTGAACTGCAGACAGCGCTGCGTCTTAGAAAACAGTTGCAGTGGAAAAGTGTTTAGCTTTAGCTGTGATCTACAGTCTTCACTGAGGTATCAGACCTCCTCCAGTGTCAGCCTGAGACCACAGCTGGTCATCACCTCCATCCCCTCCTATGTGTGTGTGTGATGCTAACACACCAGCATGGAGGAGATCTTTAACCACAATCATGTTATTAATGCTGAAATATCATCATTATGGTTCTCCAGCAATTTTCTAATTGACTGTTTTACCAGAAAATGAAATGAAAACATATGAAAGCACTTTGTTCTTATTTCTGGACTCAGATGAAGTCAGATTCTAGTGATTTACTGTCATTCCTGAACAGAAACAGTGTTAGTGGCTGAATGTGATGCTTGATTCATGTGTGACTCCTCAGAGAAGCCCAGGGGCTCCCATCTGGAGAGAAGAAGGTGAATCCAGCTTCAACTCCTCATTCCTGATCAAAATGCTGACACGTGGAGAGCTGAGAGGTGTTCAAGCTCCTCATGATGCTGGATGGTCTGTATACATACAGTGCTTAATAAGTTATACTCATGTGCTTGTTAAGCCCTCAGTGCACCGTGTTTCTGCTGTCTCGGTGTTTATAAGTTCTGTCTGAAACACAACCAGCTAGTTGAACTCACAGGAAACATGTCCTGCTGGTTGCCCTGAGCGTGAGGGTGCTGCTCGGCGTTGCTCTGTGAGTGCTGCTGGCCCTGCCACTGGGGCCACACGGCCTCCGCTGCTCGAGGAGGGAACTGAGCTCCGGACTGGGATCCATCTGGGACAGAACACAGACCAGTCAGGGTTTGTACCAGCACGACTCTCAGACTCACACATGGAGGACACAACCCACCGTAACCGTTGATGTTGTTGCTGACACGAGAGTTGATCTGGGGGTAGTTGGCCCCGTTGGTCTGGGCAGGAGCAGCACCTGTAGGCATCTGGCCAAAGGTGTTGGTGGAGCCGGCGCTGTATCCTCCCATTGGAGTGAACGGTGGAGACATGGTCTTGGCTGCCTGAGGAGCCACCTGCTGCTGGGAACAGACAGAGAAGATGCATTTACTGACTTATTTATTTAATGAGCGGGTAGAGAGTCAAACATCTGATCCATGCAGTCCTGAAACAATCAGGTAATTCCAGACTTTATTTATCAAAGGTCTTCTGGAATTATTGTTGTAGTTATATTTGTCCAGATCTCTGCTGAGCTCCTCAGACTTTACCTCTGAGTCTAATGAGTGGATCAGATGGTTCTGTTGAAACTGGATCAGAGGAGTCAGCAGCTGGAGTCAACCAGAACCACTCAGGAGACGTCAGGAGGCCATGAAAGTAAAACTGATCATTCTAGTTTGCTGTATGTATATTTATGACCCCACAGGTTTTGTCCTACTTCCAGGTGACCTGTAATGAATCTATGAAGAACCAAAACGCTGCTTGTTCTTTTGCGGTGTGTTATATTTATTACTGCATCACAGTACATTCAGAGTTACAGGAGTCACTGGTCACCTACAACCACCCTGATGTCCAGGGTCTGTACCAGTCTACC